AAAGGTATTCAAGTATACCTTTCATAAGAAACCAGAGGCCTTCCTCCTGGGCATTGTAGGCCAGAGAGTGCCAAAGAAAGATAGAACTTTCTTTTTATATGCAACTACAGCAGCAAGAATCCTTATAGCCAAATACTGGAAGGCACAGGAGTTACCCACGCTGGAAGAGTGGCACACGCAACTGATGGACTACATGGAATTGGCTGAAATGACTGGCAGAATCCGAGACCTGGGAGAAGAGGCAGTGGAAGAGGACTGGAAAAAATTTAAGGACTATTTACAAAAACATTATAAGTTATATGAATGTTGAGAATTTGCTAAGTTTTGAGAAAAACATGCTTCGGTATTGAGATTCGGAAATGATTGAAATTAAGTTATGATTGAGAAAAGTTTAAATTTTAGAGTAAATAATTAGATGAAAGTACAAAAACACATGAAACAAGGTATTAATTTGCTGTTCACTTTTATTGTAAAGAATGCAGGGATGGAGGATGTGGGGAAGTCCAGTAGAGGATGAAAAAAGATTTGGAAAAATGAATTTTCTTATATTTAATTGTTTCTTTCTTTTTGTAAAACAGCTTTTGTTGTGTCATTGACGATGTATTCTGACCTTGGAAAATAAAGCAATAAAAAAATTAAAAAAAAAGAAAGAAACCGGGAAAGGGGGGTTGGAGCTTGGGAATCCAAAGGGTGTACAATTATATTTTGAATTTTTCTTCTTTCTTTATTTTGTTTTACTATGAGTACAAAAAAGGGGAATTCGTGGAAGGGAATTGGGGTCGACCTTAGAAAAAGATTCTAATGTATAAAGACTGTGGATTATAAGGTGAAAGTGGCTATATAAAATGAACTAAATTGAATAATGAACTAAATACAATAAGGTCAAAAATTAGGGATAAGAACTTGTTGAACTAAATAAATGGAAATGGAATACAAGAAGGGGAGGTGTGGGGAAGTCTTGGAAAGATGTTATTGAAAATAAGGTTTAAATGGTAAATGTTTTCTTTTTTCTTTTTCTTTTTTCTGGATTTTTTGAAAATTTCAATAAATATGTTATTAAAAAAAAATATTGAAATCTTTGCAGATGCAAGTTTTGGAAGTGACACCACGGATGGTACAAGCACTTCTGGAGTATGCTATATGTACAACCACTGTCTGTTTGACTGGCTGTGCAAAAAGCAGACGACAGTAAGCCTAAGTTCCTGTGAAGCAGAACTCAATGCACTGTCATTTTCACTCATGGATTGTGAATGGTTGATGCAACTGTTTAAGGACATCAGTGTTTCTGTGAAATGTCCTATACAAGTGTATCAAGACAATAGATCCTGTTTGGCTTTGCTGAACTCAGAGAGTTGCAAGCAAAGAACCAAGTACTTGCAGATTAAGCTACATCGTGCAAGAGAGTGTATTCAGAAAGGACTCATTCAGGTGTACTACATGGCAGGAAATGAAATTCCTGCTGATCTGTTGTCTAAGGTTGTTAACAGAGAACAACTTAAGGTTTACGTACAAAGGTTGCAGTTGGGTTGAACCACAGGTACTACAGGTTACACGGAAAGGGGGAAGATGTTAGGATATTTCCGTTCCACCTTAAAAGGGAGCAGGCTTTGTGAGTCACAGAGTCTGCGTATTTCCTGTTCACAGGATGTTTATGTTTTCTGTTGCTTTCGTTTCTCTCTCGTGGTGCCTGAAACACTGAAGCAGGCGGTCATAACACAGAATAAACTTATAAATAATGCTCCCCTGCGTGCATCTTTCGCTGTGCATTATCTGCTGATAAGAGCGTGCATCAGCTCTGGAATGTGGCAAGCTATTTCTGGAGCTCGTGTCGCTAATTGCTGATACTGCGTGTCTACGGGAGATCGATGGATGTCCAGAGGCGACGTGGGGCCATGATGGACTTTTTCTCCCTGGCAGTATCCCAACAGGGTTAATTGTTCCTTTTCTTCCTCACCTTATCAGTAAAACACTGACTATCTCTCAGTGTTTTTCTCTGCCCAGCACTACCCTTATCCCAGCAATCTCCCCAACAGTCTTTCAGCTGGGTTTTCTCATCTGGTAAGTTGCAATTACAGTTGTACCTCAGTTTTTGAACAGCTTAGTTCACGCAGAACTTGGAATTCGAACGCCGCAAGCTTGGAAGTAGGTGTTCCAGTTTGCGAACTTTTTTTGTAATCCGAATGGGCTCTGTTCTGAGTGTTGCACTTCCGTTTTGAGTGCCACACTTCCATTGCCCACTTGCTTACCTCCCGGCCCTGCCTTCCCTCACTCAGTGCTGGGGCCACAGGCAACACCCAGAACCAGAGGAGGGGGGTAGATGTTGTTGCTGCTGCAGCAGCAGCAGCGGAGGGACCGGTGTGTGTGTGTGTGTGTGTGTGTGTGTGTGTGTGTGTGTGTGGCATCCCTTGCCTGCTCACTTGCCGCCTGGCCCGGCCTTTCTTCACTCAGCGCTGGGGCTGGGGTGGCTGCTGGTGATACCCAGAATCTGAGGAGGGGGTGGTTGATGCTGCAGAGGTGTAGTGGAGGACGGACGCAGCGCCGGGTGGTGGTGGTGGCATCCCTTGTCCACTCGTTTGCCGCCCAGCGCTGGGACACTCTGCCACCTTCGTCACCTTATCATACCACAAGCAGGTATGGCTTCCATATTGATTTCCATATCCTTCCAAAACTAATCCAATTCCCTTAACCAAATCAGACTGAGAATCCACCTTTCTTTAACATCCATTAATTTAAATTTAATCCTCGGTCTTTCCCCCTACCAGATAAATTTTGATAACTCCTTTTGCCATTGTTTGAAGCAGCTCATATTACAGTGGTACCTCATGTTACATACGCTTCAGGTTACATACGCTTCAGGTTACAGACTCCGCTAACCCAGAAATATTACCTCGGGTTAAGAACTTTGCTTCAGGATGAGAACAGAAGTCGTGCTCTGGCGGCGCAGCAGCAGCGGGAGGCCCCATTAGCTAAAGTGGTGCTTCAGGTTAAGAACAGTGTGAGGTTAAGTACGGACCTCTGGAACGAATTAAGTACTTAACCTGAGTACCACTGTACATTTCACTAGTATTGTCTGAAACAGAAATGACATATTAGGAAAGATATTCATTTTTACCACCAAAATCATTCCCATTAGAGGAAATTTCATTCTACTCCATCTCTCCATATATTCTTTATTCTTACTCCACATGATGATATAATTATTTTGGATCAGATTAGCATTGTTATTTGTTATCCCCAAACAGTACCCAGATATTTTACCTGGCGAGAGGCAGTGTGGTGTAGTGGTTAAGCGAAGTGGACTCGTAATCTGGGGAACCAGGTTTGCGTCTCCGCTCCTCCACATGCAGCTGCTGGGTGACCTTGGGCCAGTCACACTTCTCTGAAGTCTCTCAGCCCCACTCACCTCACAGAGTGTTTGTTGTGGGGGAGGAAGGAAAAATGAGAATGTTAGCCGCTTTGAGACTCCTGAAGGGGAGTGAAAGGCGGGATATCAAATCCAAACTACTACTTCTTCTTCTTCTTCTTCTTCTTCTTCTTCTTCTTCTTCTTCTTCTTCTTCTACCTTCTTCTTCATTTTAATACTTTTTTTGCAGTTTCTCTTTCCCTTGCCAGTCTATTTTTTTGGGGGGGTGTCATCTTAGTTTTATTCTTGTATCGCAATACTGCTTCATTATTTCCAATACCTTAACCACAGGGTCCACCAGGTTTTCCAAGAACAACAGCGCATCATCTGCAAATGCCTTCAGTTTATAAGAATGGAAACCCACTTGAAGGCCTTGTATATTACTATTACCTTGTATATTACACAGACCGGAAGATAGCAGTATCCCCAAGGAAGAGCACTGTGGACTCCTGTCTCCGCTAATTAGATTTGGGACAACTGGACTCTGTGAGCAAAAAAAACCAAACTTCACTTATTGGGAAAATATTTGCTTTGTCATTGTGTACAGCTCATCAGGCCCTGGAGATTTGAATTCATTCAAAGTAGCTACTGTATGTGTTCCCTTGCCACCTCTTTCCCTTTCTTGGGGCCCAGTTCCTTCCTTCCATTGTTCATTCAATTCTCTCCAGACTAGGCACTGTTTTCCTTTCGTGTGAAGACAGAGGCACAGGAGGTTGCATGCTACAGTGTGTGTGGCAGGAGAGGGTGGGAAGTGTGGCAGGAAGATTCAAGGACAATCAAAGAAACATTTCAGCATTTGAGTGTAGTATATTTAAGTATTGTTTTGTATTCACCTTTCCAGTGTATTCTAGCCAATTTTATGCATATATCCTTTTCCTGGAGACACTACTGCAGTGATATTACAACAGGTGTCAAAGATAGGAAGAGGCACCCAGACACACACAGCAGCTGCTGCTGACAGCAAACACCTGATGCTCTACACAAAGAAGCGCCTGCTTGATCGTGGCACCCACAGAGATCAGCAGAGCTCTTTCTTGGCATTTCCTGGCAGTTGGTCACTGAGTGTTAGTTTTGTTCTGACTGCTGTGGTGGCTGAAATTTAGATGACTATTTGGATGGTTTAGCTGTTGTTAGTTATTCAGTCTAATGACTTCATCAAATTCATAAATGTATGAATGAACAAAATGCACCAATTTCTAAATTAACTAACTAACTAATTAATTAATTAATTAAAATAAATACATACATACATGACAAAAGTTCAACTTCTGTCCCCTGGATCCTTGACACCTGTTGTAATATCACTGCAGTAGTGTCAGCAGGAAAAAGATATATGCATGAAATTGGCTAGAATATACTGGAAAGGTGAATACGATACAATACTTGACTATACTACACTCAAATGCTGAAATGTTTCTTTGATTGTCCTTGAATCTTCCTGCCACACTTCCCACCCTCTCCTGTCACACTATTGTAGCATGTAACCTCCTGTGCCTCTGTCTTTACACGAAAGGAAAACAGTGCCTAGTCTGGAGGGAACTGAATAAACAATTTCGACCCTAAAAGCTTCTTTAGATAAACTTTGATCTAATATCACAGTAGTCCTTTCCAGACCTTGCAAGATATCAGTAATCAAAAGGACAAACTAGAAACCAGATCTATCCGTTCTAACATTGCTAGGTAGATACACACAGTTAATCTATTGAAACGTACACAGACTGAATTCTTCCACACTTTATTTCACTGCCCAACTAAGCCTTTGCAGGTGTAAAACAATGGCTCTTTTCCAGCCTCGGAATAGCAGGATTGACAAGGTGGTGTAGAGTGCAGATTATCAATTATTTCATCCACTTTTTAATAGGTTTCCTTTTGCAGACGCACCGTTTTAGGCCTTGGCACAAAACATCATGCCAACACGAATAAATATTTTCACAGCCCCTTGTGATGATGACACAGTTGTTCGAATCTGGTTTTGCAGGACCTTTATTTCTTGGACGATTAGAATCCCAGTAGCTGAAAAGGAGAGGAGAAACTACTCAGTCTGAATACTTATTTTATTGTGTACCTCTTAGAATCAAATACTTGCCTATCCTCCACACACTTATTCATTATTTTTGCAGTAACCCAGAGGAGTAACATTCAGAGAAGAATTCTCTTTTGGTCTAGCAGACTCCCCTGCCTCTCCGCCCTACCCTGTAGTCAGAGCTTACACACTTTCTGCTCTACCACCAACACCAGATGAGTCTCATTTTATTCCCTGTATCAAGAAGTTTTTAATGATTGCTTTTTTATGTTTTGATATATGCTGTGAGCTGCCCAGAGGGGTTGGGGGAAACTAGCAGATGGGTGGGGTATTATTATTATTAGTGTCTGATTGGAAGGCAAATCATGTGCTAGCCTGCAGAAACACGTACATCCAGCCAGCACTTATTGTGCTTTCCTCAGGAAAATAAGGGGGGAAATATTCTTGCAGGCAAACCCTATAAATTAATAAATGGTAGGATTTTGATTATTTGGAGTGTTGAAGGGAAGATTGCAGGCCAGTGAAAAAATACAGGCTAAACCTCCTTTCCAAGGCAGTGCCTCACCTGTGACAAAGTTGCACGGTGTGATGGCCTGGGACCCGGGCTTGGACTCGGAACCAGAGGAGTCTCAATCCACACCGGATCCTTTGCCTCAGGCGGCATCTGAACCTAGTCTGGGGCCTGATCCTGAAGAGACCCAGTCTGCACAGGTTCCCCTGCAACAAGCACCAGGTGGGCCGAGTCAGGGGCCTGAGCCTGCCCTGGCTCCAGATGCGGGGATGACCTGCTTGCCTTCAGCTGGGCCATCACTCACAGCTGCTCCACTACCAGTTGGGTCAGGAGAGGCTGAGGTGGCCTCTGGGTCCATTAACCCACCGACATCTCCCGAGATGCAGAGACTCAGGTCTGAGAGAAGGAGAGACCTGAGTACTCGCGGGAGGAGTGCTTGCCTTTGGGCGAGACAGGGAGGTGAGTCACCGGGGGATCAGGACTGGCTATTACCCTGATAAAGAAAAAAGGCTGTCAGACCCCACCCCAGGTTGTGGGAGCAACTTTGCTGTCTGCTAGAACCTGCCTGAGACCCTGAGCCTGACCTTGCCTGGTTTCCTGCCTTGGCCTGTCAGACTGATTCGGGACTGGACCTGGACCACGTTGCTCGGGTTACCCCCGGGCCCAGCACACACAGCTTACAGAGAGGGCAATCCTAATACACTCCTTTTGCAAGAGGACAGTCCTAATCAGGTCCACCAGGCAATTTGTTAGTAGCATTTTCCAGTCTTTATCTTTTGTCCATTCAGAGAACAAAGCAGGAGAAGACAGAGAGGGAACAGGGGTTGTGGGAGGGGTGTCTACCATTGGCAAGTGCCACAGCTCAGTAGCAGAGCATCTGATTTGAAAGCAGAAAGTCATTTTATGACTTACTAAATGTGTGCTCTATGTTTGTGCTAGGGAAGTTGGGAAGAACCTTTGAAAGTGGGATACTCTGGAGTACACTGGAAAGAGGACATTTTTTAAGGGTTTACAGCCGACATTGGGAAGAACCTTTGAAAGTGGGATACTTTGGAGTACACTGGAAAGAGGACATTTTTAAGGGTTTACAGCCGACATTGGGAAGAACCTTTGAAAGTGGGATACTTTGGAGTACACTGGAAAGAGGACATTTTTAAGGGTTTACAGCCGACATTTCCATACCTTTATTTGCTGCATGTTTTGCTATCTTAAATCTCTGCTGGGGTTCTCTCATCAAAGAGTACTCACCCCACACTTGGGTCTTGGCTTCCAGGATTCCCAACACTCAGAGTGTGGGCTGCCTTTGCACTCTGATTGAAGCAGGGGTGTCCAAACATTTTTCAGAGGGCCAGATTTGATGAAGTGAACGTGCGTGAGGACCGACCAAAGTTGTTGTCTTTTTTTTGGGGGGGGGGGATTGAAGTTGTTTACCTTTTTTAAGGATTTTACCCCAGAAAATAAACTGCTGCATGGGCCATATTAAATTAACCGGCGGGCTGGATTAGGCCCCTGGGCCTGACTTTGGACATGCCTGGTAAAGCATCTGAGAAGCTTGAAAAGCAATTGCTTTGGTGCCCCCCAGGTCCCTTCCCTCTGGAGTGCTGGAGGAAGTGGAAGGGTGGTGGCAGCAATGACCAGAGAGTGAATCCCACTGGTTGCCCTCCAGGGTTGTTGTGTTGCAGCTGGGCCACACCTTTCCTGGCTGTGGATTTTGTTCTCTTCTATTTTAACCATGTGTAAACCACTTTGAAGCTCTCTGGAAACGAATTGGTCTATAAATTAAACCATCATAAAGAACAATATAAACACAGAAACATCTTGGCTCTCTTCAAATACTTATTAGTTATGAAAGTTCCCAGATGAGGAGGAGTTTGGACTTACAGTTTATCCAGGCGAAAGCCCTTTTGATAGCAGCGCCAATCTGAGCCTACCATGTTAATTCCAATAAAATAATCGGTCGGTCTGGGCTTCACTATGGATACAGCAAAGGCCTACATCACAGAACAGAAGCAAGTCTAGATAAGGGGGAAACGAAGGAGCAAAAATGCCTAGGTCTTGGTCTCATTGAGGAGCAGGAAACTTTAGCTGGCAGAAATGCAATGGGCAGATTGATCACCAGAACAAGCTGGTTTGCGCATGTACCACCAATCAGGGCACAACTGCACTGGCTGGTGATTAGTAGTCCAAATCGAAGTGCTGGTGTTGACCTATAAAGCTTTACATGGCTGAGGATCCAATACCTTAAGGATTGCCTCTCCCCTTAGGAACCCACCATACCCCGTGCTTGTCATGTGAGGCCCTCCACAATGGCCCAGAGAGGTGAGAAGGATTGCAAAAAGAGAAGGGGCCTTTTCTGTGGTGGCTCCCAATTATGGAATGTTCATCCCAGAGAGGCTTCCCTAGCGCCATCATTACATGCCTTTAGGCATCGGGCAAAACCATTCCTCTTTCCCCAGGCTATAAAGTAATCTATAGCCTGTAAAAGTGTGGGGGAGAGGACTGTTATTATGATTGTTTTATTATTAGGCTGTCTGTTAGTATGCTTTTTTATTATTTCATGGCAGAGTGGGGATTCAAATCCTGGTTTCCCAGGTCTCATTATTCCTGGTCTCCCCATACAATTGTATCCTGAACTATTGTGTTTCTATCACTGAAAAATATGTAATTTTTTAAAAATGTTGTACACCACCCTGGGTTTTTATGATAAAGGAATAAATGGAATAAATGGAATAAATAAATACTAATACTAATATGCAACCTTTTCCTCCAAAGGAGCTCAAGGTGCTGCATGACCTTCTCCTCTCCCCATTTGTCCTCACGACAGTCCCGTTGGGTAAGTTAGGATGAAAGGCAGTCCTGACCAGTAAGCTTCATGGCAGAGTGGGGATTCAAATCCCGGTTTCCCATGTCTCATGTCTGTCCCTTATCAGTCTCTACAACCACGGCAGATGCTGAAATCTACTCCCAAAGTCACACTCTTCCATTGTCCCTGAAGAATTTGTTGCATGATCTGCTCACCTGCTCCTCATCACTTTCAACACATAACAATCTTGTATCGTATTTCATCCTTTCGCAGTATTGTATGCACTGTTTCCAAGTCCTTGGGGTGGCAATGAAGTCAAATATATATAGGGCTCCATGCCAAACAATCCATTCCTCACGTAACCTGTGGTGAATGTCACCTTTGAGCAATGCCCAGAATGTGAGAGGAATAAAATGAGAGACAGGACAAGTGAGGTTGTAGTAGAAGCCAGCTTGTAGGACTCTGCAGAGTTTAAAACACTGATATTAGGGGGAACCTTGGGAGCACCTTGGGTGGGGGAACCACCCTCACTGAAAAAAATCTAGCATTGTCCTCAAAGACCCACTAGGACCCGCTGGCTACGCACTTAAAGGATAAAGTTGCTCATTTGTTTCTCCAAATGTTGCATCTCCAGTTGAAGAAGCCAGTGGCTCTATAGAGGATGTTTAGTGGGATCAATTTCACCTTATGCAATTAGCTGATGTGGAGAAGGTACTGGCAGCAATGCATCCAACCCCATGGCCCCTCAACTCCAATCCCTCCTGGCTTAGCAAATCTATCAGAGGGGGCTGACTGGTTGGGTCCAGATTGTGGTTAATGCTTTGCTGCATGAGGGGGTGGTCCCTGCTGCATTGAAAGAAGCAGTGGTGTGACCACTCCTAAAGAAAGCAGCTCTGGCCCCTTTGGATTAGAACAGCTATGGGCCATTGCCAATGTTCCCTTTTGGGGGAAGGTAGAGGAGAGGGCCATGGTAGATGCCCCAATGGCTAGAAGTGGCTTTTACCAGCTGCAGCTGGTTCAACAGGTCTGGTCATTCCTGAACCATGATTCCTTGCCACAACAGTTCATACTTTGCTCAGTTCAAGACTGGATTAATGCAGAATGCTCTATTTGAGGCTTCCCTCGTGCTTGACCTGCAGTTGGTGCTGAATGCTGCAGCATGATTGCTGACAGGAGTGAGGCCTTGTCAGCATATAACTTCTTTGCTCAGGGATCTGCGCATAGCTTATTTGGTCTGAGAAGTACCATTCATGTCCTTCCTCTTTTTCTTTTTGCGCCCATTAAAAATTCACTAGCCAGCTTTCTAACAGATTTGGGTCAACAGCCCAAAGTACCAGACACAGACTGAAAGGTGCAAGGGAGCTCCACCAGGTCTCCTGTGAAATGCGACTTTGCTGTAGCCAATTCCTTCTAGACAGTTTCAGAACTGTTTTTGAGTGCAGAGTATATACCAAATAACCTAGAACGACCCACCATTTGAACAGTAGGAAAGAAAATATAGGAAACAAAAGCAGTACTACTGATGTAATGGGAAAGAAAATACTTTTTTCTTACTTCACAGGCTCAGGATGAATTCCCTTAGCATGGAAAGGAGGACATGTGGGGACTGGTCATTGAGTCATGAGTCAAGTTCAGTATTTGGCCCTCAGGACAAATGCCTCAACAGACATGCTAATGCACCAGCTTGTTCCTAAAAGTACTATGGGATTAACCAGACATCAATAATAATAATAATAATAATAATAATAATAATAATAATAATAATAATATAAAATATTTATAGCCCGCCCATCTGGCTAGGTTTCCACTGTAATGGAGCTGTTGCTCTCATAGGCTCAACAACATGGCCTTTTGACTGTGTCCATACTATTTAAAATCCTGTACCTGATAGAGAACTTGTACATAGTACACAGAGAACTTGTGACCTTCCCTATGTTGCTGGTTCACAGCTTGAGGCCGTCACCCTGCAATTTCACAGGGAAGAGCCCTAGTGGGCCAGAGCTAGTATGCTCATCCCTACAGCCCTCTGCGCATGTGCTCACTTGAAAACCTGAAGAGAGCTACCCATTCTCTGTTTCCAGCTGTGCTAATCTGACTGATATTTCAAAACAGGATTGGCACCAGAATTGTGCCATTCTAGCCTGTAATGGAAAAGAGAAGTCCATCCCAATGGCTCTGAAATCGCCTATTGCCTCAAAGGTTCTGGCACCTTGACCTTGACCAATAAAAGTGGTTTCTGAGTAACTTACTAATAGCCTGCTGTAGTTCACTGATTTTCTTTTTCTCTTCGGATATTGCTGCAGATATATTCTCAGCTTTCTTGAATTTTGTGATATCTAAGAGAGTGGCAACAATTGAAGTCGGGAGGAATCTCAAACAGCCATGTAAAGATACTGAACAGCCATGTTTCTCAAAATCTAATATTTACTTTTCATATATAGGAACCTAGGAAGTTGCCTTATACAGAATCAGACCATTCATTAATCTAGATGAGAATTGTCTATGCTGACTAGCAATGGCTCTGCAGGACTTCTGAAAGAGGTCATTCCCACCTCTGCCTGGAGATGCTGAAAATTGAACCCGGGGCCTTTTTTAACACAACAACAACAACAATGGCATTTGCACGTCCACTCAGCTGCAGTCCTTTCCTGGAGCTTCTGGATAGCTCAGTCAGTAGAGCATGAGACTCTTAATCTCAGGGTTGTGGATTTGAACCCCCCATTGGGTGAAAGATTATTGCACTGCATGGGGTTGAGCTAGAAGACCCTTGTGATCCCTTCCAACTCTGCAACTCCAAAATGTAGGTTAATCAGCCTCGTATAACCAACATGCTTAACTCTAAATAATGCATTAAGGTGTTCAAGCCATAGAGTATGCTGCCCTGCTAGACTCAGCTACATTGGGAAGAAATAGGTAATCAAGCCTATTGGTTTTCCCCAGGCTACTTGAGAAGCTCAGTATGTGATGAGGTTTGATCTGGTTGCTCAAGCTCAGCCACATGCTCCTCATGAGCCACTCTTGAGTTCCTGTACCAATACTCTAGGATATTCCTCCACATTGTTGCTAAGCTAAGTTTTCCTGCCGTGCACCTTTTCTGAAGCACCTGGCTCTGACCTTTGAAGAGTTTGTAAGCAAATCATTCTTTAACTTACCAAGTGTGTGTTCTTGTTTGCTGGGGGAAGAGGGAAACTTTGGAAGTCACTTGGAAGAGCCTATTTTAAAGGTCTAGCAGGCTATACTTTCATGCTGACATTTGCTGCATATTTTGTGAGTGTAAATCTCTGCTGGGTTCTCTCACCAATGGGTACTTGCCCCAAACTTGGATCTTGGAATTCAGGAATTTTCTTTCTTATATCAATATATTTTTCCACCAACACGGCACACACACACACACACACACACACACACACACACCATCGTTATGGAGGAGTTGAGAATAGAATGAGCTTGAGGCAACCCACCCATTCCTGTTCGACTTCCCTGAACTGAGTAATGAGAAGAAATGGTGGGCTGTGGAAGGAGCTCCTGCGCAGACAAAAAGTAACATATGACTTACCATCTGCCTCAAAAAGATCCGGAAAGGTGTCTTCTACCATTTGCAGAATCTTTGTCGTTCCTTCTTCAAATATGGCTCTCCTTTGCACTTCCTTAACATCTAAAGGTGATGATGGGGAAAGTTGTTCAACGCATGTGGGAGAATAGCTTTGCTTCCCCCAGCACCCCTTTGGAAGGGATTAAGTTGCATTTGGAATGAGACTTCTGTCGTATAAGTTCCAATATGTAATGCACTTCCCAAAATTCGTAAAGGAAGAATTTCTCCTCTAGGAAGGTCCATTTTCAAGCCTCAAGATCTAATTTAGAGTCCTTAGCCCAATATCTTCATAGATAGATAGATAGATAGATAGATAGATAGATAGATAGATAGATAGATATAGGAATGAGTGTGTGTGTGTGTATTCTGAATTGCAAAGGTACCGGGCCCTTACAGGAGATGGACATGATGGCTACCTCATCTTGACAAGGAGATCGAGACCTAGAATCCCCTCCTCCCTCCACCTGACCCTTGACAGAGGTGTTCTCCATGACATCTGTGGGTACTCCAGCCTCTCGATACCCTTGGGAGTTGAAGAAAGCATTCCAGCCTTGGGAAGCTCTCCTTCCCCCAGAGGTGAAGCAACCTGCTCTGGTACTTGGAGCAGCACTCGTCCCAGGGGGTGTGGTGTGCCACCCACGGGCGATGTGGTGTGTGCCCCGGAGGTCATGGCACGCGTCCCGGGGGCATGGAATGCCGCCCGTAGGGGTGGCGTGCTTCCTGGGGGGATGCATATCGCTGGGGTCGGTGCACAGTGAGTAGGGCGCGCCCCGGGAGTCACTGCTGATTGGGGGTCGGCATTTTGCCCCCCCTTTTGGAATGACACCCAGTGCAGCCCCCCCCCCGGAACGCCCCTGCCTCCCCCTGACTGAGTCTCTTTCAGTTAGCAGGATAGCTGCCGCCAGGTGGGCTTGGCTTGGCTGACCAGGGTTGGGTCTACCCCACTCTCACAGTCCAGATTTGTCAAGAAAGGAACAGCTGAACGCACATATTTACGCTGGGCCATGAACATTAGGAAGGTTTTCTACAGGCTCCCAAGATTAACAGTCTGGCCCCCAACCTGCTTCATCCGTGAGGTAGTGTAGCTGCTTTGGGTACTTCTACGATTTGAGGACCCTAGGCCGCAACAGATGGTAGAGATTGCAGTGTGCTCATCCAAGGAAGGGGTTTAATCGCCTGAGTACAAAGGAGCAAGGCACATTCCAGAAGAACTCCCAGAAGAACCAGTTGGGAAACGGCTGGTGCTGGGGTCTAAGCCACTGAGCCTAGGGCCTGCTGATTGGAAGGTCGCCGGTTCGAAACCCCGTGACTGGGTGAGCTCCCATTGCTCAGTCCAAGTGCCTGCCAGCCTAGCAGTTTGAAAGCATGCAGTGCAAGTCGATAAATAGGTACCACTGCAGCGGGAAGGTAAACGGTGTTTCCGTGCGCTGCTCTGCTTTTGCCAGAAGTGGCTTAATCATGCTGGCCACATGACCCAGAAAAACTGTCTGTGGACAAATGTCGGCTGCCTCGGCCAGTAAAGTGGGATGAGCGCCACAACCCCAGAGTCGTATGTGACTGGACTTAACTGTCTGGAGTCCTTTGCCTTTTTTTAACAAACCAGTTAAAAGTCTCTGAGCATTTCTTCAGGGACAACCCTACGGTGCCACTGGTTTCAATGGGAGAGAGTACATTAAATATTTATCTCACCAACTGAAATCAGGGGGTGAAAGGGCTTAGTGGAGACCAGAACCTATCCTTTCCTTTAAAGGTCTCCACTGAAATGAAGCAAGCAAGAGAGAATTGTAATTCTGCCCATTACCCTTTTATATTTTCCTAGAAGACTGGAACTTACACAGATAGGTCAGCATTATTGCCCCTATAACGGAGCCCATCACAAGCACTACGCCAACATACAGGGAATATGAAGATTCGAAGAACTTTTTCACTTTTTCCTGCAAAGGTGTTAGTTCTCCTTGATGGACAGGAAGAGAGAAAATTCTGCTTTAGCCATCAACAGACAACATGCCAGTGCCACCCCAGTCAAGAAATTTCCCATAATCTCTGGCAACCCATCTAGATCAACATATGGCAGTCAGCTTCCTAAACCCATGGTGGGGGGTTGCTCCACTGTGAAATGCCAGGGGGCCAGACCCTTGGAATGTAAAGTGGATGAAGGAATCTGGCATGGAAGTATTGCTTCTTGAAGATACTTTTCTGCCCGTGTTCCCTGTCTGGAGGCCTCAGGAGCATGAAGAGACATCACCCGGGACCAGACGTACCTTGGTCTGACCCAGCAAGCTCTTGCTATATTCTCATTGAATAATAGATGAAGGCAGAAGGGACTACGAGGGTCATCTAGTCCAACCCCTGCAATGCATGAATCTTTCCCCAATGTGGGACTCAAACACATGACCCTGAGATTAAGTGTCCCACTCTGCCCACTAAGCATAATGTTCTTATAGTGAAAGGTAGAGCTGAGATGAGACTTCACATCGAGAAGTTGATCCTCAACTAGCAGAGTAGATTGGACACAGCATACTCATGGGAAGATTGGGGTTGTGGAGTTCCATCTAGCTGCCCTCCATCTAGTAAGTGGAAGGGGCTGCAGCAGTGGATGGGTTTGTAGTGAGGGCGAGGGCCCATCAAGGAGAGCTTTCATTTCAAGCTGGGGCTGTTCACTGCCAGCAGCAGATGGTGGACACAAGCTCAAGTTCATTGCTCCTCAGTTGGACTTGGTGGATGCCCTGGTCCTATAGAAAATGCTTGTCCTAACTCTGGTCTTCCCATCATAACTTTCCTTACTGTTCCTTCCTCCTCCATGTGCTAATGAGCATACAGACCTGGTGCTTTTTGCGGCCTTGTCTCCTGCGGGTTGGTTCAGCTTTCTCCGGCTTATCTATATAAAGACAGCATGAACATAGTAATGTTATATGATGAGATGAGATGAGATATGATCAACATAAAAATAAACATCGAGCAACAGCCCGAAATATCTCAGCTCTGTCCATTGTCTACAGTATAATGTACTGGAGGGAAACATATCAAGTCAGCAGATCTCTGTGTTCCTGTGGAAGAGAAAATAGTACCCGAAGGGGACTTACCTGGTGGCTTTTTAGGAGCCATTGAAACTGGTTTCTTATTTTATTCGCAACCTGGTGGAGTATAAAGTAGACAGTGAAGTCAATGCCTTATTTAAAAGCAGAGTCACAATGGCAATTCATAGGCAGTGTTGCCATGGAGACCCTCTCCCAGTTAATGTAATTGTTAGAGGGATTACTGTAACAATGCACTTACCTGCATTTCTTATCACCCCTGATCTACCTCTCTACAATCCCACTATAGAACGCTGCAGGCATCTTTTAAAGTGTTGTGTGGTTCACAATAACACAATACATTTGATAGTCTTTAAGTTGCCAAAATAATAATGTATTGTTTTTGCTGCAGAAAGACTAATAAGGCAACTCTGAAGATGTTCTTATACTGCTAATTCCTTCATACTTGACCTTGATTGTTTAAAGCAGTTAAGCAATCACTGTTTCACTGTGTGTGTGTGTGTGTGTGTGTGTGTGTGAGAGAGAGAGAGAGAGAGAGAGAGAGTATATATGTACTTTGCTTGTTGAACTTAATTCATTCCGGGAGTCTGTTTGACTCCAGGAACCATTTGAAAACCAAGGTACGGCTTTCAATTGGCTGCAGGAGCTTCCTATCTGCCATTGGAAGCCACGGAAGCCCTGTCGGAAGTTTGGCATCCAAAAAATGTTCGCAAACTGGAACACTTCCGGGTTTGTGGTGTTTGGGAGCCAATTTGTTTGGGAGCCAAGCTGTTCGACAACCAAGGTACCGCTGTAATGTACATTATAAAAAAGCTTGAGGAAATGATTTAGGAGCAGATATAGTATAAATAGTTTTGTTTGAGTAACCTTCCCTCTATCTTAGGGAAAGGTAAAGGGACCCCTGACCATTAGGTCCAGTTATGACCGACTGGGGTTTGCTGCGCTCATCTCGCTTTATTGGCCGAGGGAGCCAGCGTACAGCTTCCGGGTCATGTGCCCAGCATGACTAAGCCGCTTCTGGCGAACCAGAGCAGCGCACGGAAACGCCGTTTAACTTCCCGCCGGAGCAGTATCTACCGCATTTTTCGCCCCATAGGACGCACCGCCCTATAGGATGCACCTTGGGTTTTTGGGGGGGGGAAATAAAGAAAAAAAATTATTTCCCCCCCCCAGGCATGGGGCTGGCGCAGGGGAAGCCCGAGCTTCCCCCGACCCCAGCCCCCAGAACAGCCTGCTATCCGCAAGCCTAGGGAGCCGCGCTGGTTCTCTCAGTTTGTGTCGGGCCCCACACATCAAGCAGGCCACACGCTGGATTTGATCTTTGGCGCCGGTATAGATGTGATCATGTCTCCTTCAATGAAGGTGCCATGGTCTGATCACTACGCACTGAAAGCCAGGATTGATTTTCCACCCCCACCCTGCTTAGGTGGTGAGCCAATTTGGGCTCGCCCGCAGAGGCTGATGGACCCTGATAAATTCCGTCAGGCCTTGCGGGACCTTGCTCCCCCTGGCGACTCATTGACTGAGCTTGTTGAGGGCTGGAATATCCAGCTCCTAGCAGCCATCGATGAGATCGCACCTAGGCGCCC